AGCAAATTCACGCACCAACGGTAGCCGCCTCCCAAACCTAAATGATCCACTCTTCCCCCTTCTTCCCTCCCCCTTGCGCCCACCGGATCTCAATTATGCAAATTAGTTTTTTGTGCCCACGACACTGTAAACACCTTCGCAACGTTTATATTTTACGCCACCATTGGGGAAATCGGAATGATTGAATTTTTAAGGTTATAATTACTAAACTGCCTAGTTTACGTAGCTGAGGCTTATGGAGAGGGTGAAAATTTCATGTGCATTCGTTTTGTGCCACTTTAGGATCTTGACTGCAAATATTGCGTCCTATTTATCACCAAGCCATCAAAAACATGTCATAAGGCGATACAGATGCAGAAATGTGTGCTTACCACTCAGAAAACACGAAAGGTGTAGTTTCTGTTGTTACTAGAGTATTTATTGTCGAAAGGCACAAAGTCTTTAGTTATTATTTACTTTGAAAGAATAAAATAGTTAAAAGTTATCGCTACTAATCATTGCTTTTGAAAATAATCCCACATGGCATCCCAAGGTGTTGATTGTGGAGGCGCATGGTTTCCATAAGAAATGTTATTTTAACGGCTGTGGAATGACTTCCTCGAGTCATCCTTGGAGGTGCCAGAGGTCGGTAGATTCAACTGAGAGTGTGTTAAGGGAAACGATCCAAATTTGCGCACAGTGGGGACGAAAGCTTTTTGCTGACACGTCAGTTGGTCAACACTCTCACGGCACCACTCACTTTGGCTCCGAGACGGGGCACTTTTCATTGTCAACAAGATGCCAACAGGGCGTGATGAAACACCTTAAATCGCATAGTTGCTTAGACTTTTGATGTTAAAGACAGGTCCTATCTTTAGCAGACGCTTCAGCAATCACATAAATGGAGAGTGTTTATTTATAACTGCCCTTAAGAGGCAGGGATAAAGGTGGGAATTCAATTTTAAAGACAGCTACAAGTGATTTTGATTCACCTCTTAAACCCAAATTTAGGCTCATGACAGCTCATCTTGCGTAGGCTAGTTCCTCCAAAGCTACCTCGCTGGGCAAGATAATTTTTGTTTACCGGACCACTCTCAAAGGCTGAGTGGATTTGTCAGCTTAGCACAGGGAGGCAGCCGTCTCCAGCACGGCTAAGTGCAGGCCAAAGTGAAAGTCTTCATAGTGGACCAACTCACGAGAATCATTGAGGTGTAAGTGAGGAAATGCAGTTGTCCTGTGTTTTCAGTCAAATCACTCGATGCCAGAAAAGTGGATGATGCTACAATCGATGCATTTGCTTCTATCAACAATCAAAGCTTAAGTATCAAAGACGGCGTAAAATAATTTATTCACGAAACTAAGGTTTTGTACGTTCCGATGCATACACAATTACAATCAAAGGCAAGAAAGGAGCGTGGTAACCTCTCCTTCTCAAATTAGCCACTAAAGGCGTCGAAGTGTTGGGCATAACGAATAAAACTACTGTTGTTGCATTTTCCCCTTAGGTAGATGCGCTATGCTGTGGACAGTTTTGGTAGTAATTTTGATTGTACCTGCATCTCTGCCCTCTGCCATGCTCGAATTGACAACTACTGTCCAGAAGGGACAAAATCTGGGGATCGGTAAGTGCACCCTCATAAAGCTTCCACTTGTGATAACACACACCTCACGAAAGCATTTTCTTCGTCTCTAGCACTACAGCTTTGCATTGTGTACTCAAAGCAGGCATGGCTTTATGGTCATAGTGTTGTTTTTGCTGAGGATAACACATGTCTTTTGGGAAATAGTGTTGTTTTAGAGGTGTATGAAACTACTTTTAAAGGAGAAAGATCCGGTGCGACAGGTTTGGAAACTTTTCGTGAATCCACCAAGCATTAAGAGCTGGACTTTCTACCTTGAAAAAACCCAATGTTTGATCTGCTTTCTCTGTTTGGACCCTTTTATCCTCTACCCACTAATTTTAGACCCATTTTCAGTAAAGGATTGTAAAGAGAGGAACAGAAGTCCATTTGTTTGGAGGAGTATTGAGGTAAAATAAGTACAGAAAATAAGGCTTGCCTGCGAAGAATGGAAGTCGTCGCGCATTTCTTGAAGGCGATCCAGACTTCAATCCAGCCCGCGCCGTTCCAAATTATAACACTATAAACCAGCGCTATCAACAAATCTCAATTCCATATATGTTAAGGCATGAGCGAATTTCCAAGTAAAACGAAGGTGGAAGTGTGCACAGATTGTGCTTTTCTATCGTTTTGTTGAGAGGCATTGAAAGTGTATGTGGTCCACTTGTGTCCGTTCTGGACATTCATTTTTTCGTCTTTGGTTCATTCTAAAGTCCAACCTATCCCAGGTCTACTTCAAGAAATTATCTTACAAACAGGATTTTAAATGGCTTTAACACCAGAAAGAAATTACCAATCATAGACTAAAACCCCTCCTTTGTTTGCTGAAATGCAGTTGTAATCGTGCGCAACTTTTGGCATTCCAATTTCTCATGCCATTAACACGGATTTTGTGAAGGACCTAAGACCTGTTGGGCAATTTGAGTCGCGCATCTGGCAAAGTGTTCCGCACTAAAATATTGTTTGTTCAAGAACTGAAAATTGTTTCTACTTATACATTTTAGTAGAATTCAACTGTATTCACGAAATCCCTTTCTAATCTGTTGTGAAATGCAAGCAACCACCTTTATCAGGCGGCATCACTCAAGATTTGGTACCTTTTCTTCTAAAGTGTACATCATTTGGCGTTCTAAATCAAGCTCGTTGTAGTCAGGTGAGGGCGAAACACAAAAAGTATGCATGGATAAACTAAAATCTGACATTTGTAGGTGGAGAAAATGAGGAACGAAGTTATCATTTCGATGGAGACAAATGCTGACCCTGAACAAGTTATTTGCAAACCAACCTCATTAGAAGGCTCTCAGATTGCAAAAAAATTAGCAGTTTGAAAATTTGAGCGAAAAAACTCGTTTGATAGCAATGTAAGGTCCAACTTCGTATTGTAAAACCCTTTTGTTATCGTCTTCTATCAACCAAATTGGGGCATAATTTAAATGATCAATCCCGATGCAGCTGAGAGCGTCAACAATGGTTCCCCAAAGAAGTGTGCCTTAAACTAATTGACAGCTTTACCGACTTGAGTCGATTTCTGGTAAAATTTTGCTCCACCGATTCAAAGCTTAATTTGGCATCTACTGATTTCAGCATTCACTTTAAACAAAGTAACTTATGTTAATGGCTTAGCAACTATCTCGATGGATCACTGATAGCTATGTGACATCTTGTGCATAAATAAGCATTATTCACATAATTGCCTTTAGTCCGGTGTTCATGGCAGTCTCTTTTTAATGTTCGAAATCCCCAAGCATTGTCATGATTAAAAACAATACCAAATCCACCCGTTTCTAATTGGTTGGTTGGTATTGGCCAACCGCGTACCCACCAATGGCAGCACAGTCAGACAGGTGCATAACTCAACCAGGGTGACCGGAGCTTAGTTTGGAGCTGCGCCAGGCGGGTCACAATGACACCACCTTTTTTGCCGGCGGTGACGGCTGCATATTTCCACTTTTTACTATCTCTCCTTCTGTCTCTCCCTTCCCCAAGCACCTCCAGTGACGAACACTTGGTCTTTGCAGGGGCCTGCAACAAGGAGTCGCCCAGCTTCTGTGACAGAATTGTCCGCAACTCGGTGTGCAACAGAGTGAAAAATGAGTGCTTTTGTAGAAAAGGCTTCGTTGCCGTCAAGGAGGGAGATAGCGTTGCCTGCAAAACGCGTTAGTTACCTTTTTCTCCAGCTCCTCGTTTAACTGGCTCAAAAACAGTTGAACGAAGTCGTAGTTCTTTTAATTTTTATCTTACCTTCGACTTTGAACGTGGGTTTTTATTATTTACTAGTACAAGACTTTTTTAAAATCATCTTTACGCTAAAAGCTGTTCCTTAATTATGCATAACAAGTACTCGTTGTGGTTTAGGGGATTCTGCAAAGTATTACACGAAATCATTTTCGGACTTACAATGAGTTAATCTTTTTTAAAGTATGATGACTGGGAGGCATTGGAGTTTGTGAACCTTTGTCGGAAAAAGGGAAGAAGTTTTGTTGCATGGGCGTCACCGAGAACCCTTGCATCTTCCAATTAACAAAAAAGGAAGAGAAACCTTCAAATTCGAAGTCCATGGGGATAAACCGGTCCCACCACTCTCTGTCCTGTTGAGGCTATGCAATAAGTTAGTAGTGAGGATAAGAAAGTAAAGTACTTCCTGTCGATGATTACGAATCATCTAATAATTGCCTCTACTCTCTCAATTAATTTATTCTTCGTATTTGTATTGCTAGGAGATGACAGAAACACCCAATGAATTAATGATGGGTATTGAACGTTAATACCTCGTAGACAGCTTGTTGATGATGGCCTTCGGAAATAATTTATTACATGATGAAACACGAGTAGACTTTATCGTCAGTACGAGATCTCAAGTTTAATGAATACTGAATGTGGTATTTGTTAATGTCGTTTCATGGAAGGGACATGATCTGTTCTAAAATAACTCAATTTATGCGCAGCTTTTACGAAGCAAAAGAAGGTGTAATCATCACAACTAATAAATCTTGATAATTTTTTTCTGGTAAAATGTAGTGCTCACTGACCTCAAGTGTCGGGTGGATGCGGACTGCGTGCACGTGAATAGGAGCAGCTGCCATCCTGGTGCGGGATTCTGCACCTGTCCCGGCAATACCGTCTTTGTGCCCCAACTGAATGCCTGCAGTAAGTCGCTCCTTCTTCCTCTCTGACACAACAGAGATGGCCTTACTTCATTATCAAATTAACCTCGATGTCAGTAACATGCGCAGACCTCTCTACACTCCATCGGAACCTAACATTAAAGCATAGTAAAGTAATGAAAACAAATAGTATCTTTACATCGAGGCCATGAGGTTCATCACCAGCCGTTCCTTTTTAAACTCACCATATTCAAGGGCATTGCGACTGTTTCCAGGAACAAAGCTGTTCGAAAGGAAGAGCTTAACATGCGCCTCGTGTCTGCAGGAGGGTGGAAGTTGTTTCGCTTTTGATGAAAACGATAACTTACGGGCCGAAGGAGCACCGTGAGCACTTTAATTAAGACTTCACTTAACTATTTTATTTTCTGTAGTGGTTTTTTAACCTTGCGTTTGTTTCTGTTTTTCATGACCAGACCTTTTGAACGATATGGCTGCGTGTGCCCCAACTTGCGAACAAATGCGCAATTTCGCGAGCCATCACGACCCCAGCGGACTTGTGGAGCTCAGCTAGGTAAGAGTCCGTGTTTTTTTTCATTTTTTCAGATATATCAACATAATTAGGATTAGATCAGTTATTTGGGATTATTCTCGGGGAGTTAATATGTACCCCTGGGCAAGAGTTGGGCGAAATTATCCTCATCCCACATTCCTTACCATTAACTCCACACCGTCGATGATGCTTTTTCGGGTAGAAAATTGGATTGCTTCTGAGCGAAAGCAAAGTTGATAATCATTTCTCAATAAGTAATATCATTTACCACTTAATAAATCGCTTAGACCTTTACACCAAACTTCCCACTGACGATGGATGACTTCGTGTTATTACTTA